CCCCTGTTTGTTCTGCCCATTGAAATTCTTCCCATCCTTCATGACTCAGCTTGAGTGAGGTGTTCACCAGGCCTTATCAGATCACCATAGTCAGGGGCAACCTCTCTCCCCTGAACTCCTATGGCGTGTGGCTTGAAGCACGCATAAAAATTTTGACTTGCCTTTTTTCTGATCCATGTGCATGCCACACCTACAGTGCTACATTGTGATCTACTTGATCATAGAAACTACAACTTATGATCTCAGCTAACTGTAGCCTGCAAGGACCCTAGGATATCACATTGCATCTGCTGGTTGTTTTACATAGAACTATTGTAGAAAGGAAGGAGTGATTTGGTCACTGCTGACTAGTATCTCTGAACTTTTGCTCATGCCTCACTTTTCTTCCCAAGAAAACCTTTCTTACAAGTCTAAACTTTCTCCTCGAAGACTTTCCAGGACCCCTGGTAGTGGTTTCTGCAGCACTCTAGGTATAAATCTATCTTATTGCTTACCACCTCCCCATGATAAGGTAATGAATGTGTTTCATTCACTTATAAGCAAGCCGAAGATTCCATCTTAGTCATTTTCATCTTACCTTTGCTAGTCCAGGTTTCCTAATGGCATGTACTTCCTAAATATGTATCAAACAGAACAATCTCTTCAGAAGTCAGACCAGGCCAGAACTGTTCTAAGATCTCACTCCCAGAAAAAGTGCGGCATGAACACTTTCCCACCTTGCTCCCACACGGCTGGATGAAGCAGCAGGTTCAGATGTTTTCTAGGGGCCCTTAAATCCCACGAGCCTGTGTTCCAGGGGACCCCTAGAAGAACAAAGTGCTGAACACAAAAGGGGAGTGCCAGAAAGTCTTTAAGATGGGTCCCCAGCTGTCTGGGCTGGACGTAGCAAAAATAATTCTTCACCCTCTGCGTCCCAGGCTTTCCTCTCCTTTACAGCACGTTTCTCCCTCCCTTCGTCCTCACCACCCCCTTTCTGCTTCCTCGGTCTCCCAGCCTCACCTTTTCTTTCCCTCTTTCCTTGTCTGCTTCTCTGCGTCAGCGCCACCACACTTTCCTAGTACCTCTGCGGATTTCTCTCATCAGTCTCGGGTCCCTTTTCCTATATCCTGCCCCTCACCCCAGACCTCCATTCATATTCTGTCTCTCTTCCTCCCCGTCTCTGTCTCTGTCTGTCTCTGTCTCCGTCTCTGTCTCTGTCTCTCCCTCTCTCTCTCTATCTGTCAGTCTCCCTCCCACCCTTCCTCTCCCTCCCCTTCCCTCTCCGCCTAGCGGGAAGCCGGGCCTCCTCAGGAAGCCCAGAGGCGGGAGGTGGGTGGGCCCGGCGCCGCGGTCCCGCCCCTCGTGCGTGTGTGAATGTCCGTGTGGCAGTGACGCGGCGCCGGCGGCGGGCAGGGGAGGGAGGCTGGGCCCGCCGGAGAGGACGCCA